GTGTTGCTACACCTCATAGGCACACTTGTCATTAGTGGGTGGGTGTTGCTACACCTCATAGGCACACTTGTCATTAGTGGGTGGGTGTTGCTATGATGCTGAACAGGCTTAAGAGGAGCTTCTGACTTAGACAGTCTAGAAAGAAAGGGATAGCAATCTGCTTTCAAAAAAATAGCAAATGGAAACGTTAGGGATCTCAGTGGTCCCTTCTGCACCCCTCATGGGGTCAGGGCAAGACCAGACAGTGTTTCATTCCATTGTGTGCCGGGATCACCAAGACTTGAGGCTGTCTTGGAAGCAGGTAATAACAATAATGAGTAACCTCTCCGTGTATATTTTTAAGACTACCTTAGAGTTGAGTCGAAATTAGAAACAAAATATATAATAGCAATAGTTGTGAGGATGATTAATAACCTATTTCATATATTACTTGGGGGTGGAAATGAAGAAGAGAAAGGGAAATGGGAAAATGTCCTATTACCTCTGTAGTTGATGATTTCTGTCCCAAGCACCGGCGTCATCTCCAGAACTGTGATGAAGGCTTTGTCCATAGAAGTCAGAGGGAATGGAGACATGCGGTGCCTTCTAGCCACCTTGGTGATGTCGACAGCACTGTGACCTAAAATGGAAGAAAATTAAGAGTTTGATGCTGAAACACTGACTAATGTCCCCAAATGAAGGTTGAAAGGCAACAAATGATTTTTCCTGATTACAAAATATCGCCACCTCTGGTGGCGTATATCAAGTTTGCAATGTCACACCTTATGTCAGAATTTGCTGAAATGGAATAAAGATATTGACTAAAACCTTTTTGAGTGCTTTCTCTATGGTAGGCACTGTATTAACTAATTCATTAGGTCACTGTTTTCAGTAGAACTTTTTTTTTTAAACGAGGCACACAAAAAAGACTAAGATAAGTGAATTACTCAGGGAACTTATCTGCAATCCATCCACTAATCACAAAGACATGTTTAAATATGTTTTGTTTGGAATGAACTTGTGTATGTATGAGCTTGAACCCGCATAGCAATACTTTTGAACATACTCTAACAATTCATTTCTTTCCCAGTTGTTAAGTCAAAAACCTTGGAAATATCTTAGCTGCTTCTTTTTTGTTACAATCATTCATGTACTAGTTTTGAACTCTAGGATCTCATGATTTCTCACCATCATCACTATTACCACATTAGTTTAATCCACCATTTCCTGGGAAATTGACCTAACTAGTCTTCTAGTTTCTATCCTTGTCCTCCTATAATTTCCACAGAGTGATTTCTTCACTCAGGAATTACAATGATCTAATTAAATAAAAAGTTGGACCATGTTAGCCTCTTCTTATAATCCTCTAATGCAGCCGTTCTCAACCTGTGGGTCGAGACCCCTTTGGGGATCGAATGACCCTTTCACAGGGGTCCCCTGATTCTTAACAGTAGCAAAATGATGGTTATGCAGTAGCAACGAAAATAATTTTATGGTAGAGGTCACCACCACATGAAGAAATGTATTAAAGGGTCGCAGCATTAGGAAGGTTGAGAACCACTGCTCTAACGACTTCCTATTTTACTTAAGAGTAAAAACTTTGGTCTATAAAATCGACATGGTATAGTCTCTATTATTCTTATCTATCATTTCCCCTTTCTTCCAAATATGCCAATAGCCATACTGATTCATTGATTTTCCTTGAGACTACAAAACATATCTCTTCTCAGGGTCATTGCACTTGCTGTTTCTTCTGCCTGGATCGCTATCCCTTCCTCTTATCTTTCAGGTCTTTGATCAACTATTGACTCAACAGAGAAGCCTTTGCTCAACAGTCTATAGTACCATCATTATCCTTTATTTCTCTTACATTATTTTCTTCATGTGTGTGTGTTTGTGTATTTTGTCTTCTCAATAGCATGTAAGCTCCAGGAGACGAGATATTTTTGTCTTTTTTCTTTAGTGCTGTTATCTACAATGACTATACAGTTCCTGGAGTATATGTACATAGTGGGCAATACAATAAATATTTTTTTAATAAAAAATGAATCATTTAATAACAAATAGATATTTCCTGGGCATTTTATGTTCAAGCATAAGTAACTTGGGTGTCTCCTTGGAACCTTGTAGGTCTACTAGCCGAAGGCTATGGAATAAAAGGAGTAACTACACTGGATGTTGGTCATCCTTACTACCATCCATAACCCACTTTTTTCCTAGACACTTTGCAGCTGGGAGTGGGTTTATTATACAGCTTTGGCCAGCGTAAGTTTCCTAGTTAGGCTTCCTCTTATAAGTAATAAGATAAAGCTTGAAGAACAGATTCTTTTTCCTGTTTATCTTCCTTTGACCTGGAACACTGGCTGGATAATGGGGGATACTGTACCCAGTTTTCCACCATTAGGATAGAAAGCCAGATGTTACGAATAGAAATATGTAATGCAAAAAAGAATCTGGTGACAGGGATGAAATGCAGTATAAGCCCTGGGCTCCCTGTCTCCAGACTTTTGATATTGATATGCCAAACAAATAAGCTCCCATCTTTTGAAATCATTTATAATGGTTCCTTATGCCCCACAGTAGTTTGTGCACTCTTGATCACTGTATCTTGTTAAGTTTGCAACCCTCCCTATTTCCAGGAACTGAGCCACACATGTTCACTGGATTGACTTAAAGGTACTATCCCAAAGAATTTCCATCCTAAGATGAATGGCATTGCCATAGAACTCAAAGAAAAAGACATATAAAGATGATCATACTCTTAATACATTTCTCCCCATGAGTAATATCATAAAAATGTCAAGGGCCTTAGAGATCATGTAATGCTAAATTTGAACAACATGTTATCAAAATTTCAAGGCAACATTTAAAACAGGACTATGTGTGATTTATCATTCACTTATGATTGAAATGCAATTGAATTTAGAACTTTCACTGAGGTCTTGGCCCACTCATTCCAATATAAAACACATTGTATGAATCAGTGAGAAGGGAGAGAATGAGAGGGTTATAGTAGTAACAGCTTCCATTCAGGCTTATTAGTCTTAATTTCGAACTTTTTTTTGAACTTTCTGTTGTGAATTTGATGACGGTTTACAGAGCAAATCAGTTGTCCATTCAACAATTCGTACACTGCTATGTCATTGCTTACAACCCCCACAATGCACCACCGCTCATCCCACTCCCTCCCTGTGCTTTCCCCTTTCCATTCCGCCTTCTTTCCTTTCTTTATGATGTAAATTGTATGTCATCATACAAGTAAAGTGTTTTAATTGTTTTTAGTTTCTAAGGAGAAAATGACAAATTTTAAATTGTATAAGTTCTATCTGTTGAATATATTTTATAATAGAGTAAATATATTTTCTTTGAAAGCAAGCTTGATTACCAGTGATATCAAAAAATATTTATTGATTGTAATTTTTGAACCAAGCAAAGCTAGAAACAGAGGATAGATAGAGTAAGATCCTGCCATGACAAATGTATGTCAGTAGAAAGGAAAGACATGTAAATAAATAATGAAAGCAATAGGGTAGTAAACTACCTGATGGTTTTCTAACCGTAGAAATTAGTGATTCTCACCAGGGAAGGCAAAAAACAAAAAACAAAAAAAGTAAAATGTAAAGTAAAAATGACTTTTGAAACAGGATATTCATTTTAAATTTCGACATTGTAATTTTTCAAAATTAAAAGTGAATAAAAATATGCACACTAATATGTATAAGTTATGCTATGTAGGAAAAGATATATTTTGAATAAAAGAGTGCTATAACATTTTAAATACAAAGTTGCTAATTAAAATACACAGAATTACTCCCAAACAAGGGCTGTCATATCAATAAAGGACTAGTTTTGCAAAAAAAAAAAAAAAAAAGTGTCCTAAAGATTGAACATTATTTTAAGTTAACATGCTTCTTAAGATTTATCATTTTGTTTTCTTAGTTTCTACAGTTAGTATCAAGATCACTTTCATGTAGTTCTGCATATAACTATCATGACTGTTAAATTCATAGTCAGGGTCAAGATCATTTTAGCATCACATATCATAAAAAATTTAACCTAATTCAAAATTGAACATCGTTACTGTGTGAAGAGTGACAGAGAATCCAAGCCATCGGAAGAAAGTGCTAGAATAGATAGAAAATAGTAAGAGACTTCTAGTACTGGAGCATTTGTTCATACCATTACACTATATAAAAAAGGAATTAGTAATTCTCTAATTCCCTCACCCCCTTTTTCTTTTGGTGTGGAAATGACCCTGTGGATATCTGGCAGACTAGAAAAATCTTTGTCACTTCTGACAGAACGCTCTACCTTGCTTAGATTTCTGTATGGCACTGATCACTCTGTGAGTAGACTGCACAGTCCTCGAGGGCAAGGTCTATGTTGCACTCTTCTTTGTTCCCACCACTGTGTCCCCCTTACCCTGATCTTAAGCACTCCATAAACCCAAAGCTGGGACAGGAAAAGCAAAGTGGTTCTTCCTGTGTTGCCCTTTTGCTCATCTAAGCCCTACAATTTATAAGCAGTATTTACAGATCTGTATCACAAGTGATGCTAATGGGTGAATACTGCTGGCTAACCTATGTACACAGTATCATAGGGAACTTCTGAATATGGAATAAATTAACTGAAAGAAGTCTTAAAGTATAAAAATGTTAAATCGTTTAGCACCTGTGTGTGTGTGTTTAATAAATATTTAACAAGCACTTGTATATGCCTATAGGCTTCTTCTAACTCATGACTCACCCCAAATCACACAGAAGGGCTTACCTGATCCTGCAAATATGAGAAAAAACTACTTTCAACTTACCTTCTTTACACAGGAATAAAATTAATGAAATAAATAATAGCCTTTTTGTAAGTAAAAGAAGTTACTAAGTAGCATCAACACACTATTTATTATGCTATATCCAGCACCAAAAGCAGGCTGACTCTGTGTCCAATGACTAAAATAATTTTGAAGATCATTGAACTTTTAAGTGATTTTCAAATCAAAAGTGTACAAACAATGCCTCGGGGCCACACACACAGAGGCAGTGGCAGGTGAAAGCCCAGGCTGGAACACAACACTCACACGTACTACTCAGGATCTCATACACATTTCGTCCAAGAACTAGCTGAGGGCAGCCCATTTAAAGAAAGAATATCCCTAAACTAAATTCAGTAAGGAAAGAGTTATGCTACCATCTCTTTTAGAGGCACAGCTTGAATTATTATCTGATGTTGACAGAATGTTTTACCTCTGTTGAAACTGTGGTGCCACGAATTACTTTTAGATGGTCTTTCTTGGTATGGTCTTGTAACTTCCACAAAATGATTAGTTGGGACTCTGCAAAGTGAGTGAATTGTGGTCTACTGAGGTGAGTGGTGAGTTTTGTAGTTTTGTTCAAAGGAGCATGCCTTCAAATTGAACAAAAGGGTCAATCCCACAGAGGTTCAGGGGAACTTCGTGACCATCAAGAAGAGTCTGGAATGGAGTATTCTTTAGACCGTGACCCTGTGCTGAGCACCTCCCAGCCCCGGAAGAAAGAGTGAATACTGATTGATGAGCGCATGGGTAGGTGTGAGATGGCCTGTCGTGGGTTTGCTGGCCCAAGAAGTGAGAGCTGAGTGTTTGGGGCAGAGGTTTACTAGTGTTAA